TTCAGTTGGGTCGGGGCCAGACCATAAGTCCTCAAAACATAACGAAAGAAAGGGTGGATCGGCAACCTAAGACCAGTCCTAAATAACGCTTCGCTCACAGCTACACAGCCCGGCCTAGGGTAATAGGCCGCTCATCAAGCTCTGGCAAAATTAGGCCCACACTGTCCGAGATCCTATACTCCGTCCTAAGTCTATCAAGGTTGGCAGACTTAAGTTTGGAAGTGTAATCAGACGCCCCCAGTGTATAAAAGTGTCTACCGGAATATCAGAGTGCCTCCAAATGTTCTTTCCTCCTAATATCACCTCGAACAACTCCGAGAAAGTCGCTAACACTGGCTAGTCAACCCTCACTATCTCCAACTCCCTCCCCGAAGCTTTACTACCCTCAGAAGCCATCTCCAGAATTCAAAAAATGCGAAGAACTAGATAAATACTTACTGAAACAAATGAATTGGGGTTTTCTATAGTCGAAAAATAAGAAATGGGTCTCTGTACTCACCAAAAACTGAGAATGCGGTCGGAAAACACTTGAAAATCGTCGAAAATCATAGAGAATTTTGAAAGCATCGAGAGCCTAATTTCGCAAAAGTGAAAACCTCTAACAACGCTCAAGTCCTCCTTTTATAGGAAACCCTAGATGATCCCCACTGTTGAATTCAAATGATGTCAATCTAGGCCGTTCATCTCATTACAAATCTGGATCGTTGAAATGAAACGCCAGATTTGATTAACGCCTAAGATTTGACTGTGCCCCTCACGCACGCATAAAGCGCGTCACCTCGAACAACAACAGCTGTCAGCAATAAGTAGCCGCAGCAGCCCTTTTTCTGGGAACAGGCAGCACATCCAACTTTTGCCTTAGAAATACACGACAGCTATCACATCGATTAACGTCATAATTAGATGCTTCAGATCAGAGACAGTCCATCCCAATACGCCTTCGATGACGTACTTAGCTTTGCAAGCTTCAACGCACTTAACGCGGAGATCCCTGTGGATCATCGTCTCAGACGCTGTGTTTTCTCAGCTTTACAAAGTTTTGATCATCTCCCAACGCATCGTCCCATATGGGTCAGCGCATCGGTAGCAGATGAGCTCTTCAACCAACTTTACAAGCTTTAACGCATCTGAGGTGGAGATCCCGGTGGGTCATCGCCTCGGACGCTGCGTTTTCTCAACTTTACAAAGCTGTGACCATCTCCCAACGCGTCGTCCCCTGTGAGTCAGTGCATCGGTAGAAGATGAGCTCTTCAACTAGCTTTACAAGCTTCAACGCACCTCACGCGGAGATCCCTATGGGTCATCGCCTCGGACGTTGTGTTCTCTCAATTTTACAAAGTTTTAGCCATCTCCCAACGTGTCGTCCCCTGTGGGTCAGAGCATCGGTAGCAGATAAGCTCTTAACCCAACTTCAAAAGCTGCAAAACCATCAACTACACTTCTTACTTGAATGTTGTTCTTACCATTGATACAAAATTTGACATTGTTCTTACCATTAAGAATTGAACGAACAAAGGTTGGTCGAAAGAACACAACTATAGCAAAAAGGGGTTGTTCTTCAGGCATGACATCTTCCATGTGGAGAGACTTTATGTAGTTCCCAGCAACATAGTGAAAATCTGCCAAAAATTATTAGGTTTTTACCAGAGATTCCATCCTTTGACTTTGCATCGATGAGTTCTATTATTATTGGTTTTCCATCCTTTGCTGGAGTGATCTGTAGATAGAAGTTAAACTCATGTGCAACTAATATGTTAAATATCTGAGTTGATTTATTGGCAGGCGAGCAACAGGCAACTGAGTTGCATCCTTGCTAGCAAATATACCGGTATGATAGTCAATCTTGCAATGATTGATAAGTTGAGCTAGTTTTCAAATTTCAGGATCAAAATCAGGCATGAGTTGATCTAAAGCTTCAATAAACGTAACCTGTGAAATTCAATTGTGATAAGTTTTGAGTCTCATGTATATGCATTTTACGAGTAAAATAATGACATAGCACTTCACCTAAGTTATGTTAGGACAATCCTATGAAAATAATAGGCTTAGTCAATGTACCCACACCCAACAACAAGAAAAATGTACCATAGCAGAGTATAATCATGAATATTACAAAGCAGAAGAGAAAATTTTCAAATAATAAATCTAAATATGTCCTGAGACAGCTCTCCATAAGGCGAATTGCTGCATTAAAATCTAACTTTGTAAAGAAAAACTATTATCAACATATGATCTAGTTGAGCTCATAACATCTATATAAAAAATAAAAAATATTCGTATAGAAAGCTCCAAAGACTTATCAACGTTAGCTATTTCTGAAAATGGTCTTGATCATCTAAACAATAAAATGAAGCCAAAAAGAGGTATAGACAAATTACATGTAAAAAGTAGAATGAGATAGTATTTGGTTACCTGTTAAGAGTTTTTATAGAAAATCGATTATGTTTTGCAACTTTCAAATCAGATCCTTTGAATCTACTCCCATTCACCTCCAGATATTAGGTGTTTCTCTACCTTAGATGTAAACTTTAATTTCAAGATACGATATAATGGGAACTTAATTCATCTAACTAATCAAACACTTCCATCCAACGCAATATCTGATGTTTCCGATCACCGAAAGCCACTTGGATGGAAATTATATTCATAACTCAAGCAAATTAAAGAGAAAAATCTGCTAATAACAGAACAATAAGCTTCTAATTCTTTCCTTTTTCAGTACTTTAAATCAAATCTAATCCCCATTTCATTTATTGTAACCCCCTTGCCAACAAATCCAACCATTTAAACAGTTAATGAACACAAAACATAAACATAAAAGAATTAAAATCCCTAATAAATTTAAGCCCAAACATAAATTCATTCCCAGACATCTGAAAAGGAAAATGGATAATCTTCAACCAAAAGGCAGCCTAGCAACATAATACTTGCAACAGAAATAGTTTAGCAACAAAATTGACTCAAAACACACATTGTCAATTCTCTTACCGGGCATTTATTCTGCAGTATACAAATCGTACTGTAATAATTTGAAAATAAAAATGCAATGTGTAAATCTGAAAGTTATGGGGTTTATGACTAACCAATACAAAATTCAAAATTTCGCAATTGAATGGTAGCAATGCAAAACCCTTATGCTTGTATCCTTCTATCTGTCAATTATTCAATCGACCAATACCAACTTTAAAACTTACCTCCTGATGGTAATAAGCCAGTGCCATCTTGGATTGCAAATTCCCACCCTCAGTTGCAAAAGAATGAGAACGCCTTAGCTCGGCTCATCTCCCTCGTCATTCCCTTGTTATACCAAGACCCAATCACCGAATGCACGTGGGGATGCCCCACCGCAGCAACCACCTCAATCTTAGACACAGCCTCCTCTATCACTCTGTATCCCCCACCACTCCCTGCCTCTACATCTTCCTCAGACCCTTAAAATAAATGTCCTCATAATTTTTATTATCCTCATTATTGATTATGTTGGTACCATTGACACAAGCTGGGGGTTCGAAGATGTGGGACCACGAACTAAGGTCAATGACATAGTCGGGTTTAAGTCCAGAGTTGTGGAATTTATCAAAATCGGAGTATCGACATCATCTAGGGCTAAAAATAGCTTTGGAGAAATCGTCGAAGGGGAGGACGAAGAACATTGAACGAGCATACGGGGTCATGGGTGTTGAAATTTTGGCCGGAATTGAAAGTATGGCCATGTGTGGAAAACGGAAGAATAGTGGGTGTTTTCGTGAGAGAATGGAGAAGGAGAATAAATAAGTTCAGAGAATGGGCTCAAGCTATTTTGAATGTGTTGCACGTTGCAAAAGGTTAAAAAGATTATACTTTTTGCAACGAACGAACGTTGCGAAAAGAGTTCTTTTGCAACATTTATGAAGTATTGCAAAAAGTAAAATCAACTAAATATTTTCGTAATGTTTATTGAACGTTGAGAAAAATGAAACTTTTTGCAAAGTTTAATAAACATTCCAAAATGTGAACTTTTTGCAACGGCTAGTAACCGTTGCAAAAGACGAACATTTTCACAACGTTCAATAAAGATTGCAAAAGGTGTGATGGTTGCAAAAGGCGACTTTCAGCAACGTTGATTGACCGTTGTTATAAAATTAACTTTTAGCAACATTTAATAAACATTGCAAAAAATAAAACTTTTCGCAACATTCAATAAATATTGCGAAAGGCTACATTAGCAACATCCATTTACAAAATGTTGCTAAAGCTTAATTATGTTAACTAATGGCAACATTCGTTTATCAAAATGTTGCGGTAGATCCCTTTAGCAATACTTAATTACCGAATGTTGCCTTTGCAGTAGATCCCTTTAGCAATACTTAACTACCGAATGTTGCCTTTTATATGTTGTAAATGACCATTTTTGGTGTAGTGTGTCGAAATTGTGTTAAAAAAAAAAAAAAAAAATCTTAGAGTACTGAGCTTTGTTGGTTCTCACTTATGAAAAATCAATGGACTTAAGCATTGGAGTGGATCATGAACCATTAGAGTTATCAGTGATTTTCAACAATTCACGATTACGTTGCTGAAAGGAGTTACTCAACGAATTTTACGTTAACACTACAAGTAAAATGCATGATGATGTTGATGGAAACATTAAATAAGAGGCGACTACAAAAATGATTGTAGAAGACGTTGATTCTAGGAATGTCCTAAATTTTAGTGTTATATTTTTGTTATTTAAGTCATTGTTTGAGTTCCATTAGTTCCAACAAAATACTTTATTCAACAATAATTTGATCTCATTTCAATAACACATTTTTTATTAAAATAACATTATACGTAAATTCAAATATTTTTTTTTATTTTATAACCACATATTTTCCATATTAACAAGAATAAAGCTCAAACAAAGGCTAAGTATAACCTCTTAGCAATGACTTATGACCTGTTAGCTCAACGAACCATTGAATCGAGGTTCGAGGACCTGTACTTGATCGGGTCGATGCCTTATTCGGGTTTTCTAATCTTAAAACACAGGTTGGACTACCCAACGGTGGCCCAAAGTTGTCTTAGCAGATCTTCGGTTAGCGAGATCAATGAAGCTTCGCCTAAAATTATCAAGCGCATAAAAACGTACGAGAATAACTGCACAGTCTCCTGCAAATCACGCACCAAAATCTTGTTGCATTTCAAAGCTATTCAGAGTATCCATGGACTCAACCGATAGGTCCTTCAATCCCAGCAAACATCTCAAAGAACAGTATGCGCTAACAAAATCTGCGTATTTATCCCTTTTTTTCTTTTTCCAAATATTGTAAACGTTTCTTCTTTTCTGATTTATGTTTAATGATGGAAAATGAAACGTGATTTCAGATTTGTGAGCAACTTAACAGGATCTTCCAAGCTCGAAATCTCCCTTCTACTCACGACTTTCTCCGTAAGTACTAAACCGTATTCTTTTTGGGTTTTAGTTTTTGGTTTTTGTACTCTTAAATCGTTAATTCTGTTACTCTCTGCTCGTAAAATCAGGTTCTGATTCTTATACGGCGTTGCATCGGCTTCAATTACGACACTACCGGTAATAAATAAAAGTAAAAATCTATAAACGTTTATTACTAGAGTTTAATGTAATTTTGGAGGATTAGTACCATGATGCTATTGAAGGAAAAGTGACATTATACTATGCCAGTTTTCATGTTTTATTGAAAAATCAATTCTGGCTGGTCAGAGTCCTTGAGCAAAATTTATCGTGCTTTTTTTATCAGGCCCCATTAAGAAAAATGATGCTTCTTCCGACTGTAACAAGAATTTGAGAGCGTATATTGCAGCACTGGTTGTTGATTCTACCTGCATTGTTGTTCCATACATCTTATTTTTGACTGTAAGTATTCTCAATTTGCGCAAAATCTTTGTAGTCAAGCACATAGCATAGTCTGTGTTATAATTGTGTTTTTTGTTATTTAGGAAGAGGAATGAGGCTCCTTTTTGGAATTATGCCTGCTATGAGCAAAGAATTTTGAGTGAGGAGTTTCATGCTTTTTACCTTCACATTGTTGCAAAGTGAAGTATCAATGAGTGTGTGGGGGGTTGGGGGGGTGCATTTGTCATAGAAATAGTAATGGGTTATTGTTTGGTGAACTATTTCTAGAAAGACTTTAAAGACAGAGAAGTGGAAGATTTTCTGGATCAGTGTTTTTAGGGGTGAAAGGCGAAGGTTAGGCTAGGAGAACGATTCAAGCATTAGGTGCGCCCTTCATGTATTATTGTTTTTATTTTATAACTATAGATATCTCCACAACTGCCGGTCCCTGTAAGAATCTAATAAAGTTCTGTAGGGTTGAGAATGTGCAGAAGTAATTGATGGAAAGAAAATGGCATTATTTTAATGTTCATGGTGAAAATAGCCCTACTTTCTAATTTCTAGTTTAAAAGGCCTTAATGCTGTGTAAAATGTCTTAGATGATTTCCTTTGGTGAACACTCGGTCAGCAAAATTGGAGAACTGTTAGAGTCAAATCGATCCCTATCCTGGTCAAAGCTGGCCCTCGATCTGCTCAAATGGACTCCAAGTCAGGTCTAGTAATTGACCTTGAGTTGGGTCCAATCGATTTGCAATTGGAGAAGATGAACAAGTTATTTAACAAATACATACAATGGTATAATAAAATAACCAATTATACAGACCACTTAACAAGATGTTAAGTAGGACCCTTTTTCATTTTCTCTCTGCTAACCACGAAATTTCCTCCAAAAAAAAAAAAAAGGTTCAGCTTGAGGAAGGCCATGAATAACAGAAATAGCTATCCAAAAAGATAAGAACTGAGTAAATAGAAGCTAGTTTGTCTTTGGAAAAGGAAAATAATTTATGAAAATCTAGACCTAAAGTCAGGGATGGCTAGCTTGGTTTGGGGGTGAGGGCTGGAGTTATTACACACACAAAAACATGAACTGCTAATATGTTAGCAAAAAGAAATCCTTTTTTTCCTAGGTTTAGTCAATTTTTTGTTAAAACATATGACTCAATGATAGTGCATTTAAAATAACTTAAGGCAAAGCCTCGTCATGTAGGTCGTATGCCTAAGAAGACAAATGGTTCTCTTTATTGTCTTGAGGTGATCTTAGAGTCAAGTCTCAAAAATTGCTTTCAAAAATGTGGTTGAGATCAATGCTTAAATTATATGATTAAGGAAAGTATATTGGTATACTTGGAGACTGTTACTTTCTAAAACGTGTTTTTTGTTCTATTGTATGTGGAAATCTGTACCATGCAATGGCAGGGTAAAGATTGTTTCTTATTTGACCAGGAATATTATTAAGTTGCATAATTTTACTGGTTGCTTTTCAACATATAACACAATATCAAATATCTAAAATTGATATTGGTGTATACAGAAGAAAGTTTTACGTAACTTTATTGGCACCGTTTACATAAAGAAGTTGGGTTTTGTGTATTGAATGTAGTTGATCTAATTTGATTAGTCAATGACAGGTTCTGGCAGAATGGACATGTATAACTGCAATTTCGATGATTTTGCTTCTCCTTTTCATGATAGCAGTTAAAAGGTAAATTGTCTATATATATGTATATATACATTAGTTTTAAATTTTTATTTTTCCTTCTTTGAATTTGAAATCTAAAGTTTTAGATGTTCTCTAATTATAAAATGTGAATTCAGTAATGCATATAACTGGAATTAATAAAGTCTTCAAAACAGAAATGGATCTTCTTTTCTTCAGGAACGCAACATGGACTCCATTAGGGCAAATATCTCCACGTACAGAGTTTCTATGGTATGTGATCAGATGTGCACTTTGCACATGACATTTCTTGTTTAAATTATATGTTTCTTAAATTTTTTATTTATTTCGCTGTAAGGATGATTGCTGCAGATGCTTGTTACATGCCTCTGTATTCTGGCTGTCGATTTCAAGATATTTCCAAGAAGATATGCTAAAACGGAGACCTATGGCACTGGCTTGGTACGAGTCTAGATGCTGATTTAATAAAGCCTATGCCTTCTTCTTCACGTATTTATGGATATGTTCATATTTGGTTCATTCATTTTTGGCATAAATAGGAGTTCACTCTATTATCATTTTCTAATCTTCCTTGGGCCACTTTTGGATGGTCTTGGAGGTGGTTCTACCTCAAGAGACTTATGTTTTACCAAGCTTATACACAATTCATTGAAATCAAAGACTGCATTGCCAGCCTGTCTAGGTTATCACATGGATTAGTTTTTAAAAATGGTCGTGATGATCATTTTTGTTAGGGTGACGAGAGCATGACTTCTTGAATAGTGGATATATTAATATGCACTTCAACAATATTTATAATTTTGGTCCTTATTGACATAGAAGTCGAAACCAAATATCAATGAGCAAGTCTTTTGATTTTTTTTAACTTAAACAAATGAATAAACTATTCCTCTAAGACAAGGTCAGAAATAATGTTTGATTATAAGCCAGTGGCAACTATTGAGCATTAGAGAATCAGAGATAATGGTTGATTAGGAGTTTGTTGTATCGACAACAACAAACTTAGCTTTGTTCCTAATAGAGTTGGGTTGGCTAAATGAGTCCTCTCACCACTTCGTTCTGTTCATTGTTTTCTAAGCTACTAAATTTTTAGTGACTCAAGAGACCTATAGCAATTTCCATTTCATCATGTTTGTTCTACTCCTATGCACTACGTCCTCTTCAATTCCTCATTCCTCACATTACATTTGTTCAATGCTGGTTCTACTCAACTTAAAAGTTGAAACCTTTAGATTTCAAAGTACTATTCTAAGATATAATTTGCGATTACCCTTCTTAATCTTATCGCTGAAATAGATCATTAGAACATAACCACACCAGATGGACCTCATTGTGAATGTATCCTATAAGTCAGCTCCTGCTTGATTAGTGTGAAAAGAAAATGACTTAAAAACAAAACTTTGGTATAAGCCTACAGTGATAGGGAGATCTTGAGCTATTACCATTCACACTCATGACTAATAAATCATACATGCCTTTAATAATCTTGATACGTGTATTAGAAATTCCTTTTGTTTCTATCTAGTTCCAATTCTTGGATAGCTCGTCTTGCTTCCTTCTCCTACTCCACCCAAAAAATAATAAATTCTTATACTATAATTTTCTTGTTCTTTTTGGATTTTTCAAAAATATTCTACAGTATTTGTAGTAGTAATTTTTGTTTGGAAATTGTGCTAAAATTTTACGTGTGATTCTTGGACTCTATTTACATAAATTACTTTCACCCAAGTGCTGGTCCGATTCTTGTTCGAACGGACATGGTTACTTCGATATGGTTCTGCATAATTAATTAAAAACCGGTGAATCTAGAAGGTACTAGTTCAATTATTGATTGCAAAATATCCGTATGCACTAATTACCTTTTCCTTTGACTTGTGATCACATCAGATGGATCTTGGGGTTGGTTCATTTGTGCTAGTGAATTCCTTGGTTTCACGAAAGGCACGTGGCATCTCAAATATGTAAGTGTTTCTATGCGTTTTTCATCTTTTCATTTGACCTCATGTCCCAAAAATACGACAGATGGCTCAGCCTCTTATGATAGGCTGTGCTATTTGGCTCTTTTCATGCTTCTTGTTTACATGTACACTTTAACATTAAAGTGGCACTTAAAATTTGAATTTATAGAGGCTCGTGGTTCGTAAATGTCTCAATAATATGAGACTTCTTGGCTTCAAAGAAAAATCTTTGAGGTCATGCATATTATTTGTGACCAAAAGAAGATAAGAAATGTATATTGCCCTTTAATTATTTGTTTCTTTGTGAATTGTCATAAAGTGCATGATTTCAATAACAAGCTATACTTCTCTCTTGGTGCTAACCAACTGCTGTTCTTTGATTCTGGAACAAATGATATTAGTTGTCCGCAGCCTATTCCATCTCCTTGTACATAGTTCCTGAAAGAGAAAAAAACAGATATTGTTAGGTCTATGTAGATTTTTATGTCTCTATGGTAGGATATATATTTCATATTTATCCCTGCTTTTATTTTAGTAACTTGCATTGATTTCCATTCATCTATTTCCACGTGCATTTTTGTAACCCTTAAATGAGCATGTGTTTTTATTGTATATATATAAGAGAAAAGTATTAATTCTCCGCTTCTCTCATCCAGGTGACTATATTTTTCTCATTCTTCCTTGCCTTTGTGCTTGCCTGTGAGTGATATTGATTCTATACTTATTGTTGCAAGCTTGTATTGGTAAATCATGTAGCACCTTCTGTGGGATATTGTAAATTATACGTGTCGTAGAAGCATTGAACTCCATAATAAAATTTTTGATTACATGTTTATTGTAAGATTCTTCAATTCAAGACTCTGTGTCTGGATTGTTGGAATTGCAGAGAGTAGTCAACTGTACGAACTGCACAAAGCACCTCTATATTGGATACTTGATACAGACAAGGGAATGCTTTACTTGTATTCTGATGTGATCATAAATCTAAAGCATATCTCAAAGATGTTTAATTTATTCAATTTTAAAAAAGTTGAATACACATTTTGAGCTATTTTAATTATAATAGATATAATTCTACCATTAAAGTTAAAAGATTAAAAATTATTGATATTTTGTCGAATCCATGTATCTAAAATTTGGATGTTTAATGAACCGGATATTTAATTCACATGTACCCAATCCAAAACATTGTGATTTTGCCTTCTTCTTCCATTTTTTTTCCCACCTAAAATCAACTATAAAAGTTTCTTGAATATAGTTGAACTTGTGAAAATGAAATAAATGTATAAATTGGCTTTTGCAAGTATGAATGTGTGGTTTTTCTCTGGAATCAAGCAACTGCAAAAGGTCTTTTTATTAATAGTTTTCTCTCTATAATCCAGGATCCAAATGGGTTGTAATATTTTGAAACATATGATTTGAAGTCATGGAATTTCTTTCAACTCTAAGATAATTATTTTTTTGAGGACTGCTGCCTATGTTCTTGCATCACTCCGTGGCATTGATTTCTGGAAGAATTGGACCCACATTGTTTGCAGAGGATTCCAGATTGTTAATTGCCATCTTATCTAGCCCTTTTTTGGCACCTATTTTATTTATAAACAGAATTGGTCAATTGTGCTTTTTATTCACACATTTTGTGGGCCCCACAAGTACTATTCACCTATCCACCAGTTGTTTCTTTCTATTTGAACTGATTATAATCTATTCCCGAACAAGAGCTTAGTCTATCAGATGATTCTGGTTTGTTGTTTTCCACTCTATACAGTATGGATGTGTGACTGGTTGCTTGCTGATATATATAACCATTTACAGTCAGATGATCCTGTTAATTGCTGTTGCACACAACGGTTTCACTTCATTTATCTTTTCAAGCATCGTTGTTGTTGAAATAGTTTTAAATTCTTGTTCGTCCATATTATCCAGGACAGTGAGAAATGCACTCTGTTCGACGAGTCCTTTAATTTTTTTAGGATTTGCTCGACTTATTTCCACAAGAAGCGTGGATTATCAGGTAGGATATGAGTATCTTAATCTTCTTTTTGCATAACATAGATTAGCTCTATGTTTCTACATTTGTGCACTGGCAGTCTTAGGATGCTGGTTATGTATGCTTGCAAAATCTAAAAGTAAAATTTGTATGTTAAATTGATAATATTTTAATATTTACTTGGAAAAGTTGATAAGCTGTTAAAGTAATTAGAATTAAGGGATTAATATAAAAAGGAACTGTTAACAATAATATGAATAACAATGTTAATTTTTTAACTTTACCTCTCCTTAAGTAACTGGTGTTGGGTTAAAGAAGAAAAGAATGAATTAATAATGAAATTGCATGTAATCCCTTTTTCGATGAGTAAAGGAATGAGATAATGAAATTGTAGGCATATGTTTTACAGGAAAGTAGTTAAAATTACTACTTGCTGGTTTCACTTTAGTTAATCAAGGGAATTAAGAATTTTGGACAGATCTAAAGAGCTGGTTAAGTTAAACGTGGTCCACCTGTGCTTGATGGCACTTTCTAGTGAGAGTCCAATATGAAGTATGCAACTTTGCCCATGCTTTATTAGTTTCAAGGGGAAAAAGGTGTTCTTTATAGATTTTCTCCTTTCTGCATTTTCCTGTAATATCTTCTCTTCCTATTTTATCGTTGGCCATGATCTTTGCTCTTCATCTCATGCTTCTGCAAGGGATTAGATAACCTTGTCATTCTTATCCTTAAAATATTTAGGTTCTTCGTCTTTTATTCTCATAGGTTCACGTTGGAGAATATGGAGTCCATTGGAATTTCTTTTTCACTCTTGCTGCTGTGTCTATTCTGACATCCATATTTAATGTTCCTCCACATCATTGTGGAACTCTAGGCTCCCTTATCCTCATAGGTAAGCAATACAATTTTCCTTTTTTGGTTCATAATTGCATATATTTTTTGAATTTCCTTGTTAATGTTTGACCTCTTATTTCGTGTATTAGGGTATCAAGTTTTCCTGTCAAGTGGGTTGAACAAGTATCTGCTTTCTGAGAAAAGGGGAACAGACTTGATGAACCAGAATAAGGAAGGAATATTTAGCATATTTGGTGAGGATCTCCCTGTACTAAAATGAATGAAATGTTCATTCTTATTATCATTTTCCCCCTTTTTTTTTTCTTTATTGTTTCCTTTTTTTCCCCTCCTGCTGGAGAGTGGGAGGTGGGGGGAGGGCTGGTCAACTAGAAAACAGTACCTTTTTTAGTTGATGTACTTCATTACATTTTCATGATGCTCGGGTTTGTCTCAGAATAATATGGTTTGCTAGAATGCATTACTCTCTCTCTCTCTCTCTCTCTCTCCCCTTTTTTCTTTTCTTAACAAAAATTTGTCTCAGCATTCTCATCTTAGATATGCTTGGTACATGTAAATGTCTCGAACACTCAGCCCACATAACATCGCTGGTTTTGTAGAAATCATATAGTAGTTTGCTTTAATATTATAGAAGTTAACACAGAATATCAGAATATGCCTCTCTTGCCGACCGGGCAAAATACAACTAAAAGCAAGGCCATTAACATATCAGACATTGCAAGATATTATAATCTACCATGGAAATAAATTTACTTTTGGTGTACCTAGCAGGAAGAGATTAGCTCAACATTTTATTTCCCCGAGTCAAAATGTAAACTTACGGCCTTGATTAAAATTGTGCAAGTAGTTCATCAATTAATCCACCCACAGCAATGATTAGTTAAAGTTATCCTTAAACGGTGCTTTTAATTCTTTGTTGTAATTGTCCATTGATTTTTCTTGCCTCAGGGTATTGGGGTATGTATCTTATTGGTGTTCGAATAGGAAACTATCTTTTCTTTGAGAACAATGTTGATACTATGTTGAGAAACAATAAAAGGACAAGAACTAGAGTTTGGTTCCTTTGCTTCTTCTTCTGGTATGAAGCATTATTAACACAGCATGTGCTGCTTTATCATCGAATTACTTTTATTGGTGGAGAATTTGATTTCCATTGTGCTGTCACAGGTTAACAACTTTGTTTCTGGATTGGCATGTAGAAAGAGTCTCCCGCAGAACGGTAAAATGCCCAATTCTGCCACATCACTCCTTTTTAGTAACCATGCTTTTTCAATTGCCCTTCTTTTCTTTATTGGAAGGAGGAAAAGAACCCGTTAAATTTAAAGTCCCTCAGCTGGAAATAACCTAAACAATTTTCCACAGTGCAACTTGGCGTATGTTTCTCTCGTTTTGGCTATAAACCTTCAGGTAAATCTCATTCTTGTCTATTAACGGGTCTATTTTATGTGCAAATTAAGGTTTAATAATAACAAGTTAACAACAATAACTACAATTATAAACAAAAATTCAAAAATTAACCTTCATGTGATTAGAAGTGCACTGCATTCTGTGCCATTTTCCTGGTAGATGACAAGGATTCTTTCTAATAACCTGTGAGAATATTTGTTCAACATAATATCTCGTGTACATATTGCTATCTAACTAACATGTGAACCAAAGCAATACTATAATTTACATGCAAACACGACTATGTGCCAACTTTGTCTTATTTTTCTAGGATGAGACAATTTGTCGTCCGTGTAAACCTAACACGCTCTTCCTTTGTAACTTCTCTTGGTAGTTAAACTTGTATGACATACATGTCATGACAAGAAAGAGTACCACATACATATCTGTCATTTTATTTAATTATTGTTCTTACAGGTGGTAACTAGATATGCAAAAGGCAATATTTGTAATGGGGAAGATTCATACGTGAAGATTAATAATGTTTGACAAGTATTTCAACTATTTGAATTTTTTCATAGAAAATAGAATTAAAAAGCATGGAGGCACCAACTATATATATATATATATATATTTTTTTTTTTCAATTCAAAAAGATAAAAATAATGTATGGCTGAGTTGAAGTTCCCCAAATATCCTGTAATATAACTGGGCATGTTCTGGTTGTGAACTTATTCTGTTGCTAGCCTTTTTCTGGATGTTTATTACGGTGAAACGTGCTTCATATATCCAGGTTGTATCTTTTGAACTCTACTTGTTTCTTGCCCTTTATAATATTTCTTATGCTTTGCGCTTCCTTCGTGCTGGTGTTTCATATTTTATTCCAATCCTGTCGTTGATATATCACTCTCTAACATATGCACATAATTTGCAAGTTTTTCTTCCGATCAAGAAAAACTTTCAGTTTAATCTTTGGTAGTGTGTTCTTCCTATTATTATTTTGGAAAATTTTTCATCTTAATTTGGCATCTTCAATGCTCATCCATACTTAGTAGTTTTGTAATTATATAAAATTTGATTTTTTAGGTGCTCTCCATTCTGATGCTGTCCGATTATTTGCCTGGAGGTAAAGTTTCAGCTATGGAAGAAGCATTTAATCGAAATTTACTCGGATCTTTTCTTCTGGTGAGACGAAGTTCCCTTTATCTCATTGACCGTCAATATCTTGTTCTGGTTCACTCAAGAGTCCTACTCTATCTGCAGGCCAACATCCTCACAGGATTGGTGAATTTGTCTATCGATACCTTGCTTGTTCCACCAATCTTTGCTCTAGCAATCTTGTTTGCCTACGGATTCATTTTATCTTTTGCTGTTGGATTTGCAGATTTTCTTGGCATTAAGTTGAAGTTTTGGTAGTCAAGCATAGGCTTGTTATTTATTTATGTGTTATAAAGCAGATCTTTTTTAAACATTTCAGGAAAGATTCGATATGAGAAAATCAAATGGCTAAATTTCAGAAACCTTTCCGGGATTTATGTTAATTTTAGAGACACCACCTCTTGTTTTAAAAATTTCAGAAATCTCCTTTAAAGTTTGTTTTTAATGACGGTTTTCTTCCTTGTTAAGTTCTCTTGTTTTTAAAATTTCAGAAATCTCCAATAAAGTCTGTTTTAAATAACAGATTCCTTCCTTGTAAATTGTAAGTCAATTGTATACTTTAATTTTCTATTTTAAGTATTGATAATATAATTTAAACTATTATTAAATAATATTTTACTATTCTTGTTTTTCCTCATTTCTGAAGGTTTATTGTTTTCAAATGGCACATTTTTTAAACGAAAATAAATATTATTGAATTTACGTAATAATGTTTGAATAAAATTATTTTTTTCTCTTTATTTTTTATGCTTTTAACAATTATAGGCTTGGCAGCCAGGTGGGGCGGATAGTGTTCACCCTTCCCGTCCTTGCCTCGTCGAGGATTTTTAGACGATGGGATGGGAAGTAGCAAGGTCGAGGTCTGGTGGTGCAAGTGTAGGATGGGGAATTTTCGTAGGGATCGCATATTTTTTTTGTTTAAATTAGTCCAATTTTTATTTATTTATTTATTTTTTTTTTTTATGTTATTCAAATTAAATCGTAATATATGAATAATTAAATGGGATGATTTCATGTATGGGATAGAATTATCATGTTTATTGTTCAACTAATTGAGTCAATCGATCTAATGCAGTTATCACAGTACAAATTTTTATTTGAAAGATATTAATATGAATGAAGGATGAAAGTATCATAAAAACAACAGTTGTGTCAATGACAAATTTTTTTCCCTATTCAAGCAGCATTATTTTGAGAACAATTTTTTAAAGAGATCTTAATAAGATAATGACACTATTTCGCTTTACATGGCTCCATAAGTGTCCAGAATGTTTAAAATGATCGAAATACCTTTCATTCTATTTTTCCTGCGTGCACATTGAAGAAAGAGTCATGTTTGATGTTCACCTTGGTGTACATCAAGTTTGACAATCCTCTCACTTGTGAGGGGTTCATAACGTATATATTTTTTCGTGCGGCCCTCTCATACGAGGGGTATGTGATGTATAAGTAGGATAACCCTAGAAGAAAAAAAGTTTGCAAAAAGCCAAATCCTCTGTCAAAGCTCAGTTGCATTCACACGTCCCTATACCCAAATACTTTGCGTTTTGCTCTTCCAACAATTGACTTGACTACAGTGCAAATGTTTGCTAGACCTCCATTCAGAACGATTGCCTTCGCAAGTAAGCCTTGTCAAAGATAAAGCATGAGAAGGAAAGTAGCACGTAGCGCTCGTTTGGCCCCCATTTTCTGAAAATGAAAATGAGTGGAATAGTGTTTTTTTTTATTTTAAAAATGAGTGGTTGAAAAAGAAGAAAAATTTTCGATTCACGTGTAATATTATTTTATGAAAGATTGTAAAGTTGAAAATAGCAGAGATAAAAATGAAATGTAATGTAATGAAATTTAATGGGGGCATAATCTGTTGACAACTTACTCCAAATGCTTATAAATTGTGGATCGTATGACATTATAAATTATGTCTATAATTGTAATTTAAGCTTTTACAAAGATGGTGCAGTACCCTTGAGCTTCCTGCATTTACAAGATCCTTCGAGAGCGATGAGTCACCTGATAAATAAGCCAGTCTGAACAAATCCGGGCCCACACCACCACACACCCCAATCAATTACCGAATTCTAACTGTCAAATCCACGTGAAATTTTCCACACACTCCCACGGTTTCAAAACCCAAGGTTTTGCCTTCAAATTCGAATTTTCAATTTTTATTTGCCTCCTCGATTATTCCTTCCTTATATATAAAAATAAAAATAATCCCATCGTTTTTTCTTTACTAATTTCTCCAATTTTCTTATTTTAGTAAGAACTAAACAGTGACGTTGTTAAACAATTCTAAAAGGATTCAGTTAACAAATCATCCGTAATTAACAAATACTAAATACATGATTGAAAAATGTCGGTCTCTATTATGAGAACGTGAATTGGATTATTATAATTCAATAAGTTATCTTTCCTTGATAAAAAATTTATTGTAAGAGTTATGACTATGCCAACTTTTTTTGGTTGGTAATTTGGTAACTTACCTTTTCTACGTGGAATTAATCATATTTTTTAATTCTTTTAAAGAAATTTTCCTATATCTGTTGTAAACATAGTCAAAGAAACATTTGTACAAGCATATGGAAGCGTAATACCTGAAATTCTTGACTGCTAATATATTTGGGGCCGTTTGAGCCCCATTATTTGTAGATTATAATGAGATAAATAGTGTTTTTTTTTAAAATGAGTAATTGAAAAGTTTTTTATTTATGTTTAATATTATTTTATTGAAGATTGTGTAGTTAAAAGTAGGAGAGAAAAATTTAATTTAATGTAATAAGAAATAATGGGACTCAAACTTCCAGTTTAGCCCTCAATTTTTTAAGAATTCTTTTTTTTTTGGAACTTATTTTCAACTATATATAATATATAAAATTTACACCTGTTATCAAATTTTTTATCATATATTTTATTAATTTTTATTAAATTTGCGAACTGTACCAAACAGGAACTTGGTATTAATTATTTCTTATTCGGTTCTTCGGTTCTTGGTCTAGAACCGAGAACCGAACCGTACCCGTCGGTTCTCAATTCAGATACCCGTTCGGGTATTTAATTTGACAAGAACCGTCGGGTTCGGTTCGGGTTCGGTTCGGTCGGTTCGGTTCGGGAGATTTGCCCAGCCCTATCTAAAAGGATTCAGTTAACAAATCATCCGTAATTAACAAATACTAAATGCATGATTGAAAAATGTCGGTCTCTATTATGAGAACGTGAATTGGATTATTATAATTCAATAAGTTATCTTTCCTTGATAAAAAATTTATTGTAAGAGTTATGACTATGCCAACTTTTTTTGGTTGGTAATTTGGTAACTTACCTTTTCTACGTGGAATTAATCATATTTTTTAATTCTTTTAAAGAAATTTTCCTATATCTGTTGTAAACATAGTCAAAGAAACATTTGTACAAGCATATGGAAGCGTAATACCTGAAATTCTTGACTGCTAATATATTTGGGGCCGTTTGAGCCCCATTATTTGTAGATTATAATGAGATAAATAGTGTTTTTTTTTAAAATGAGTAATTGAAAAGTTTTTTATTTATGTTTAATATTATTTTATTGAAGATTGTGTAGTTAAAAGTAGGAGAGAAAAATTTAATTTAATGTAATAAGAAATAATGGGACTCAAACTTCCAGTTTAGCCCTCAATTTTTTAAGAATTCTTTTTTTTTTGGAACTTATTTTCAACTATATATAATATATAAAATTTACACCTGTTATCAAATTTTTTATCATATATTTTATTAATTTTTATTAAATTTGCGAACTGTACCAAACAGGAACTTGGTATTAATTATTAAATGAGAGATGCGAATTAAAATTTCATTATATTATAACTATTTACAACTTTACTTACTATTTAATAAATATTTAATTAGCAAATATAGAATTAAATAATATTTTCCATCAAATTAATGGAAATTTGCAACCAAGGTCGCCAAACCTTGATGCTTGGAACACATGGGGTCCTAATTCTTGTTTTAACGGCAATTGAATACAAAAAATTTCATAATTGATGCACTTGCTTCATTGAGGACATATATTGTTAGTTTCGTCTTCAAGTATCCATTTGACAAGCACATAGACATTTTTAAAACAATTTCATTAAATACTAATTTTGCAATTATCCATTAATTTATTCAAACATTCTATTTCATTTTTGAAGATACTATTGAATCTTGCCATTTTAATATTTTTATTTCATTATATCAACAAAATCTTTGAATAATTTATTACCCAACTGAAATCCCGTAGACAAAAATATAATATGGCACTAATGTGATAAGATTCGTGGAGTTTAACCTTTTAAGCATCATTATTCATCTTTCACTCCCAATTCCTATTTAATAGTATATGTCTAAATCATTTAATACTTAAAAGTGAATTCTAGTATTCCTCTAAATAAAAGGTAGAATGGAACTTTTGAAAGGAAAAAAAGGGCAAGAACTCACGAAATTGCCTCTCGGAAATAATTTTGGTGCGTAAAAGGTGACACTTTGATGGCAAAATAGACGGTGTTCATCTAGGAAGGATTAAAGCGCACCTGTAATAAAACGAAGGGGATGTGATCACAAGGAAAGAAAATAAGAGGATCTAATGCTCTATGAAGAAATGTTTAAGGACCTTGACTACAAATTCATCTACATTAGTTGGAAAACAGCTGGAGCTGCAGGAACTATATAATCATCCTACTCTGACCACGACATTTCGCTTCATCTTTTTTCCAACTCCTACGCCATGGAGTCTCCACCACCACTCTCCGCCGCTCCGCCCATCACCGCCGCCCAACCACCGCAGCAACTCCAACCAAATTCTGTAGACTCTTCAACCCACTCCCGACAAACAAACTGCTGGGAAGACCCACCTCAAAAATCGCCCAAACTTCCAAAGCTACGCCTTATGTGTAGCTATGGCGGCCACATAGTCCCCCGTCCGCATGACAAGTCACTTTGCTACATCGGCGGCACCACCCGTATCATCGTCATTGACCGTAATGACTCCGTTTCTGACATCCACCACCGGCTCTCAAAAACCTTCCTCAACAACGAGCCTTTCACTCTCAGATACCAGCTCCCCAACGAAGACCTGGACTCATTGATTTCTGTTACTACGGATGAAGATTTCGAGAACTTGGTTGAAGAATACGACCGGCTTAATTTTGGGAGTGGGTCGAAATCTGGTCGCCTCCGCCTTTTTTTGTTTCCTAAGAGTTCGAGTATTGAACAGCTTCTTGTCGAGACATCATCGACTAAATCGGAGGATTGGTTTCTAGATGCATTGAATGGGAAAGCTAGTAATATTTCTGGTGGGATTAGTGATCGTGGGTTTTCTGAATCTTCTTCGGTTAATTGCCTTCTTGGGTTGGAAGATGATTTTGTGGGTAAGGCAGCTGTCGGAGGGAAAGATGTG